CCTCAACATATCCAACCACATCTAGGAAGCAACCTTTCAAGTGACATTCCTATATATTCTATTCACAACAACACTATTGCTTTGTTAACCGACACTTCAATTATTCCCTTTCCTTTGTTGCCAAATCCAATCTGTTACTAAGTTTGGTGAATTCTCCCTAAATTCATCTTCCCTTGTTTATTTGCCTTTTCATGGTTGTAATTCTTGCTCTTCTATCTCTTCTTTGGACTGACTATTGTTACAGCCTTCTGATGGGTGGTTCCTTTCTCTCATCCCTTTCTGCTGTCATTCATCCTCTTCATTGCTCTGGGTGAAATCTTCCTCATATGAGCTTCAAATTTATATGCCCCATCTCCTTGTAGCTTTATGTTTTCTTCACTTAAAAACTGTTTTTCTCTATTCTTACAAACCATGAAGAAAAAGCTGGATTTGGCTGGGCGTGGTGGCTCACGTCTGTAATCCCAGCACTTTGGGAGGCTGAGGTGGGTGGATCACCTGAGGTTGGGAGTTCGAGGCCAGCCTGACCAACACAGAGAAACTTCGTCTCTACTAAAAATACAAAAATTAGCTAGGCATGGTGGTGCGTGCCTGTAATCACAGCTACTCAGGAGGCTGAGGCCAGAGAATCACTTGTACCCAGGAAATGGAGGTTGCAGTGAGCGGAGAACACGCCATTGCACTCCAGTCTGGGCAACAAGAGTGAAACTCCGTCTCAAAGAAAAAAAAAAAGAGAGAGAAAAAGCTGGATTCATATAGCTTTAGATTTAAGAATAACTTTAGTATGGCAATCAAACTCTTTTATATGGCCTTAAATCAACACTCTGGAACTGTGGTTTAGTAAAAGTATGGAATTTGCAAACATGATGACATGTATTTGAGTCTTGTTTTGCCCCTTAGGAGCTATGTGATCTTGGTCTAATTATATTACCTTTCAGAGTATCTTTTTTTCAGTTTTTTTCTTCTTTTTTCTCTCTTCTGCACTGTTTTAAACTTCAAACTAATCTAATGATATATTTTGAAATGTTTATATTTTTAATTCCCCGTCTCTCAAAATCGATGAGATCTCTCTCTGTTTTGAATTCTTACATTGATTTCTTTCTTTCTTTTCTTTTTTTTTGAGACAGAATCTCACTCTGTTGCCAAGGCTGGAGTGCAGTGGCGTGATCTCGGCTCACTGCAACCTCCATCTCCCAGGTTCAAGCAATTCTTCTGCCTCAGCTTCCAGAGTAGCTGGGACCTGGGACTACAGGTGCATGCCAGCTAAGTTTTGTATTTTTAGTAGAGACTAGAGATGGGGTTTCACTATATTGGCCAGGCTGATCTTGAACTCCTGACCCTGTGATCCGCCAGCCTCCGCCTCCCAAAGTGCTGCGACTGCATGCGTGAGCCACGGCACCAGGCCACCCCCCCATTGATTTCTTAGAAGGCCATTATAATCTGTTTCATATTAACTGCATACTTGTCCACTTTTAAATCTTCCTAGTAGTTTACAAATAACTAAAAGTACAGATTGGTATTATAGTATGGCATACAAATATTTACATAAAAAAACTTGCAGAAATACATCTAGGGAGTTGTGTCAAACCAGAACATAATTCAACTGTCCTTAACTTTCCATTTCTTTATTATGCCTTTGTGGCTACTCCCCAAATGCTTGTTTTCTGCAGCAGTATGCCCTGTGCAGTATTGTTGACATAGTAGTGCTTGACTCTTGTTTTTCATTTTAAATTGAATAACTGGGTGAGGCATTATACACCATTGAAGATGCAGATCAATTATGAAATAGGTAACTTGTTCAAGTTTTCACCATTTAGCTCTGAGTGGCCCACACTATGCCTCTCCTTCTAAGAAGCATTTTATTTATTTATTTATTTATTTATTTATTTATTGAGATGGAATCTAACTCTTGCCCAGGCTGGAGTGCAGTGCTATAATATTGGCTTACTGCAAACTCTGCTTCCTGGGTTCAAGTGATTCTTGTGCCTCAGCCTCCCATGTAGCTGGGATTACAAGAGCATGCCACCATGCCCAGCTAATGTTTGTATTTTTAGCAGAGTCAGGGTTTCTCCATGTTGTCCAGCCTGCTCTTGAACTGGGCTCAAGTGATCCACCAGCCTTGGCCCCCCAAAGTGCTGGGATTACAGGCATGAGCCACCACGTCCGGCCAGATTAATATTTATTTATTTACTTATTTTTGAGACAGAGTTTCGCTCTTGTCGCCCAGACTGGAGTGCAATGGCGTGATCTTGTCTCACTATAACTTCTGTCTCCCAGGTTCAAACAATTCTCTTGCCTCAGCCTCCCAAGGAGCTGGGATTATAGGTATGTGCCACCATGCCCAGCTAATTTTTGTATTTTTAGTAGAGGTGGGGTTTCACCATGTTGGCCAGGCTGGTCTCGAATGCTTGTCCTTAGGTGATCCACCCACCTTGGCTTCCCAAAGTGCTGGGATTACAGGCATGAGCCACTGTGCCCCGCCTAGAATAATGGTTTTAAATGCATTAGATAATATATAGGAATACAAAGTAAAACAATTATATTAATACGCCATTATCAAATTATAAAAAATCCAAATTGGTGAAATATTAACATATGTGCTTTTAAATTTTTTATTTTATTTACTTACTGATTTTGAGACAGAGTCTCACTCTGTTGCCCGGGCTGGAGTGCAATGGTACCATCTTGGCTCAGTGCAGTCTCTGCTTCTCAGGTTCAAGGGATTAGCCACCCAAGTAACTGTGTGCCAATATGCCTGATAAATGTTTGCATTTTTAGTAGACACAGGGTATTGCCATGTTGGCTAGACTGGTCTTGAACTGCTGGGCTCAAGTGATCCTCCCATCTGGGCCTTTCAAAGAGCTGGGATTTACAGGCATAAGCCATGCCCTGGCATAGGTGCTTTTTAAATTAATACATTAAATAATAATCTGTCCATGTGACTAAGACTTATTATAGATTGGAAGGATTTAGTTTTTTTTTTTTTTTGAGACGGAATCTTGCTCTGTCGCCTAGGCTGGAGTACAGTGGCACCATCTTGGCTCACTGCAAGCTCCGTGCCTCCTGGGTTCATGCCATTCTCCTGCCTCAGCCTCCCAAGTAGCTGGGACTATAGGTGCCCACCACCATGACCAGCTAATTTTTTTGTATTTTTAGTAGAGACGAGGTTTCACTGTGTTAGCCAGGATGGTCTCGATCTCCTGACCTTGTGATCCTCCTGCCTCAGCCTCCCAAAGTGCTGGGATTACAGGCGTGAGCCACTGCGCCCGGCTTTAGGATTGAGATTTTTAAATGCAATTTTGAGATATTGGCAATGGCAATGTGATACAAATAAAAGCACTTGTACTGCCAATTATACTGTTTGTTGCCTGAGTTCATACATAGAGAAAATGCTAACTTTCTGTTGGAGAATAGTAATAAGAAAAAAAAAAATTTTGATTTTTTTTTTTTCCTGTACTTATTCCCAGATCCCCTGAAGCCTTTCTATGTATCCCAGGCTAAGAACTTTACTCTGCAATCTTTTTCCATGTATCATAAATTCATCAAACAGCAAACAACTGTGATAAACCTGGTTCTCCTCACAAATCATGGAGGAAAAACCAAATATTCCACCCAAAGGACCTGGAACGTTTTATGGGGATTAACAATGAGTTAAGTTTTTCATTATTTATTATTTTGAGGAGTTCTCAAAATCAGATTTTAGCAAATTAGAAAACTCTGTCTCATCCCTTTCGAAGGGTGAACCTTAAGGATAGGAATTGAGAACACCCACAATATTGTAATATACCATAATTAATGTTTAATGATTGCTTATTTGGAATCTAGACATTATTTTAAGCATTTTGATAGGATTATCTCATTCCAACTTAACAAATAATTACAAGTTAGAATTTTAAAGTACATTTAAAACAAGGAAACTTTGTATAGCTTGCCCAGGGTCACCCCCACAGCATGTATGTGGAGCAGACTGTCTCTATGATAGTTTGACTGGATACTATGATGCCAATTTGTTGGGGTAATAGAATGTGGTGAATGATACAGTGCTGGCTACAATCTGTCCTGTGATTAAAGGCACAACCAAAGCATACAATCAAATCATAAATTTTCATAAATTTCAGCCCAACAAGGTTCTAATTGTTTTGGGGATGTACATATTCATGTCTTCAATGGGCCCTAAGTGATCTTATCCTAATTTGACCTCCAAATGTGTAACTTGCATATGCTTTTAGTTCCCTCAGTAGCACTATCTAGCCTGCAGGCTGAAGAGCCCTGCTTGGTTAACTAGGAATGCATAAATCGATAAAAAATAATATCAGAGACAATAAACATATGATTTGCTTAAAATACTTTGAAAGCACCTTGTGGCCCGGCGCGTGGCTCACACCTGTAATCCCAGCACTTTGGGAGGCCGAGGCAGGCGTATCACAAGTTCAGAAGTTCCAGACCATCCTGACCAATATGGTGAAACCCCGTCTCTTCTAACAAAATACCAAAATTAGCTGGGCATGGTGGCGGGCGCCTGTAACCCCAGCTACTCAGGAGGCTGAGGCAGGAGAATGCTTAAACCTGGGAGGCAGAGGTTGCAGTGAGCCTAGATCGTGCCACTGCACTCCCTCCTGGGCAACAGAGCAAGACCCTGTCGCAAAAACAAACCAACAAACAAACAAAACCCAACAAAACACAGCACCTTGTGAGGGAAAGAGTGTGTACTAATTATTCATATTCTGGGAAAAGTGGGGGACAGCTGTCAGGCTTCTTTGTCAAAAGTTTATGAACTGATGGCTCAGTTAATGACTGAAAGTATGATGTGTATCTACATACACATACATATCTAGGAGTATTTATGAAATCCCAACTGAGACTCTTTTGTTGCCTCAGGCCCCTCCTGGTCTCCTCCATTCTGAGCAAGGGAGAATTGCACAGAAGGGCGGGAACTGACTGTGGTTCCCGCCACTGCTCATGAGGTTTTCAAACAGGTCCGTCATACTGTTATAAAAGTGCTGCGTGGCTGTGCCAGAGGTATTGTGTTACAAGCTTAACAGCTGCACTTTCGACATGTCTGGTCGCGGCAAGGGTGGGAAGGGCCTAGGTAAGGGTGGCGCCAAGCGTCACCGCAAGGTGTTGCGCGACAATATCCAAGGAATCACCAAGCCAGCCATCCGCCGCCTGGCTCGCCGCGGCGGCGTCAAGCGTATTTCTGGCCTCATCTATGAGGAGACTCGCGGAGTGCTGAAGGTTTTTCTGGAAAATGTAATCCGCGATGCTGTCACCTACACGGAGCACGCCAAACGCAAGACGGTCACAGCCATGGACGTGGTGTACGCGCTCAAGCGCCAGGGACGCACTCTGTATGGCTTCGGCGGCTGAGTTTAGCTCCACAGTTTGCTATCGCAAAACCAACGGCCCTTTTCAGGGCCACCTATCCACTCAGGAGAAAGAGTAGTAGTCACTGCTTAAAATTAATGTAGTTTCACGTGTTTAGTAGCTTCGGTTGTCAAGTTCAATTGTTTTATTACGTCTTGGCTTCATATCTTACTGGCTATTGAGGATAGTGTATCTTTTATTTTTTGATTTATTTTCAGACAGTCTGGCTCTGTCTCCCACGCTGGAGTGCAATGGCGCGATCTCGGCAAACTGCAGTCTCCGCCTCCCGGGTTCAAAGGATTCTTGTGTCTCAACCTTCCGCGTAGCTGAGACAACAGGCTTGCGCGCCCAACACCCGCTAATTTTTGTATTTTTTGTAGCGATGGATTTTCGCCATGTTGCCCAGGCTCGTCTTGAATTCAAGCTCAAAGAGATTGCCCCTCCTCGGCATCCGAAAGTGCTGGGATTACAAGCGTGAGCCACCACGCATGGCCTGTGTTTTCTGTATTACTGTAAGGAGACTGATGGCAAACTGCCGCTAGCATTCTGCATGGCTATCAGAGAAAGAAAGTAGCAAAGACTGTAGCTGTTGGAAAAACAAGGTAACAAAACCTGTATCACAGAAGGCAAGTGGTAAAGGCTGATTCTGCTGTGAAGAATAGGGAAAAAAATGGAGGTAGGTACTAGTTCCTACCAAGGCATTGTTATATGAAAGGAAGACAAAATGGCGTTCACATGGTTATGGGTATAGGGGGATAGGAGGTGTGTGGGAGGCACTTAACTGGCAAATACAATCTTTAAAGAAGAAAGTAGTAATTACCGTGGGAGAAACAACCATGAAAGTATATAAGATTCTCTCAACATTTTTCAGTGGAATGGGAAGCGGCCAACTTGTTTGGCTGTGTTCCTCTGAGCTGCCTTCCATCCGGAGCTACTGATTTCCTATTGTTGAATTTAAAAGGACTTTTTATTAATGTACCCGCAGCCAATTTAAAGGTATGTTGATCGAGTTTTTGTTGTTGTTGTTGTTGGCCTTTTATCTTAAATAGTTTTAGACTTTATTATTAACACAAGTCATTTTACCTTAAATCATAGATCAGGCCACTGTGGTTGCATGAATGGGCATTTAAAACCGAGGTTATCATGATTAAATTCCCACCTTCTTTCCCTCTACACCTCAGGAAATGAGACAAAAATAAGTATGCCATTCTCTAGTGGGTTACTCCAGTCCTTGTTCTTAATCACTGTAAAATTACAATCTCAGGACTATCAGTATGACACTATTATTCACTGTCCTCAAAATGGATTTTAGTTTGTGGAGAATATTGCATAAACCCTCATTTTTCCAATAAAGTTTTTTTCACTTTATCATAATAAAAAGAAAGCTGGACAGGTGGCTGTCTAGCAAGAGGCAACATTTCCTGGTCTTTCTGGGAGCAGATGTAAGCATGTGGCTACATTATTTCTAACACAGGTGAGACACAGAAAAGTTACTACCAGGTCTGGGCTTTGAAACTTTCATGTTACCTTCTTCCCCAGCTATAATGGTATTGATTTTGTTTTGAGCAAGCAGAGACCATTAGGCCCTAGGAGATGATAGAACGTTGACTTGGAAGGAACGAAATTTCCTGATTGATCACAAGGAGCAGAGCTGCTTCACAAAGCTGGACTAATCACAATGGATTTGTTCCATGAAACAAAAATACCTGTCTTTAAGCTTATTTATTGTTAAGTCTCTTTGTAAGCAGCATAATTTTATCACACAAAATTCAGTTTTGTTTCATTGTGGAATGTCCTTCCATTGACCTAAAAGCTCTTTGCAGAAAAGCTGATGCCAAATGAGCCTATCGACTTGGTATCACCTCTGTTGTGTTCCATTATAGACAGAACACTGGGGCTAATTACAAGTTAGAGATCAGGCAGGGCACATGGCTCATGCCTGTAATCCCAGCAATTAGGGAGGCCGAAGTTTGTGGATCACCTGAGGTCAGGAGTTTGAGACCCTCCTGGCCAACACGGAGAAACCTCATCTCTAATAAAAATACAAAAATTAGCCGGGCATGCTGACACAGGCTTGTAGTTCCAGCAACTTCCAGGTCCGGGTCAGAGAGACTCTATCCAAAAAAAAAAAAAAAAAAAGTTAAGAGATCAATGGGTAGACTAGATAGTCTATATGTCTTCAGCAGTGGTAACCTATATATTTAGTGGGCTGACTTCCTTAAAGAGTGGTCCTGCCACGCACGATGGCTCTCACCTGTAATCCCAGCACTTTGGGAAGGTGAGGCAGGGGCATCGCCTGAGGTTGTCGGGAGTTCGATACCAGCCTGACCAACATGGAGAAACCCTGTCTCTACTAAAAATAAAAAAACTAGTTGGGTATGGTGGTGCATGCCTGTAATCCCAGCTACTCAGGAGGGTGAGGCAGGAAAATCGCTTGAACCCAGGAGGTGGAGGTTGTGGTGAGTCAAGATCTTGCCATTGCACTCCAGCCTGGGCAATGAGAGTGAAACTCTGTATCAAACAAAACAAAACAAAACAAAAAACAAAACAAAACAACAACAAAAAAAAACCAAGAGTAGTTCTTAGTAATAGATGGATCAAAAACTCCTTTGAGAATCTGTTGAAAATAGACATATGAACATAGACATTTTCTAAGGCTCATGCTCGGAAACTCAAGGAACTCCTAGGGCTCCCTGGATTCCTGTCAACAACCAGAAGTCTGGGATTTCAGGGTCTGAGATCTAGAGATCCCAAATTTAAAGATGGAGAGGAATCACAGACATAATACTAAATAATACATTGAACAGGAGTAAGTTTATTTTGTTACTATTTACTGAGTGAAACCGACTTATGTATTCTTCTCCTTTTTTTTTTCTTTGAGATGTAATTTCCCTCTGTGTCCCAGGCTGGAGTGCAGTGGTGTGATGGCAGCTCACTGCAACCTCCGCCTCCCTGGGTTCAAGCAATTATCCGATTCTTCTGCCTCAGCCTCCCAAGTAGCTGGAACTACAGGCCTGTGCCACTATGCTCAGCTAATTTTTGTATTTTTAATAGAGACAGGGTTTTGCCATGTTGGACAGGCTGGTCTTGAAATCCCGACCTCAGATGATCCGCCCTCCTTGGCCTCCCAAAGTGCTGGGATTACAGGCTTGAGCCACCATGCCCAGTCTATTGTCTCTCTTCTTTTACTAGGAAGATAAATCTCTTGTCTGTCTTGCTCACTGCAGTATTTCAGTGCCTGGCACAGAGGGAATGCAGCCAGTATTTGATGAAATACTAAATGAAATCCCTTCAACTACTTTCTGATTTGTTTATTGTATCCCCTGCTCCATTACTCCTGCCATTTCTTTGGCTTGAAACTTTATCCTCTTTCAACATCATTATTTCCCTCCACTGCATCCAGTCTCCTGCCACAGGAAGCATATTCCTAGAACTAGTTATAATTTTGTTAGTCCCTGCTCACAAGCTTTCTATAACTGTCTGCAAAATAAATCTAAACTTCATTGTTTGACATTCAGACTTCACAATCTTCTCCCACATCTTTATCACAAGAAAACTCCATGTAAGCAGGAGGCTTGGTTAGCATATTTTTTATATCAGCAATCTCCTTTAACAAGCTCTCCATGTGATTCTGATGCACACTCGTCTGAGAACCACTGTTCTCAGTGCAAAAGTCCTCAGTACAAAATTCACTGCTTGGCACTTCAATGTGAATGAATGACTATCCATTTTCAACCTACAGGATGTAGCTTTCATCCTACCTTCGCCTGGAAGGTGCTTGTATCAGGCAGTGCAGATGCCTCCTCCCCAAAAGTCATTTCCCCTCCTTTCTTCCTAATACAACTTTATTTCTTTGTTCCCTGACTTGTTCTCCGGAGAAGGCAGAGTTCCTTTTAGCCTCAAGGATCTGATTAATTTGGCTACACTATCCTAAAGATCACATGCCCCTTATTAATGATTGGATTGGGGATAAGTATATAGTCAGCTTTTGTGATTAGGAGAATCCTTAACAATGGAGACCCAACTTCTCTAAGAATATGATTAAGATGAGATGGGGATTGTCGACCAATGAACAATGTGTGTTGTGTGCAAATGCGAGTGTGGTTGCACAGAGAATTGTCTAGTTGGTGAAACCAGACAGGTCGCAGAGGTGGGGCAGTGGAGGGAAGAGGGTTTTATTTTTTCCTTTAGAACCTAAAAATCCAAATTAAGACCTTTTTGAAGGAATTGAGAAAAGAAAGGAAAAAAGCAAATTCAACATTAAGAACTATTTTGAGAGCAGCAGTCTCCTCCTTCCCCACCCCCGCTCCAGCCCCCTATGTGGGCTTCTTTTGTAAAACCCGTAGACTTTTAAGGACTCAAGAAGAGAAACGTAATTCGTCTTCATAGAGCAAAACCATGAAATTACTGTTGTCTCTTAGGTGCTATCGACTGATACCTCATAAAACACGGAAAACAGTTTCATAAAGCCACCAGCCCAACAAGTACCATTTTAAGTTTTAAAAACATGCCTACTTCAGCTGCAAGAGTTTCCAGTAACTTCACGTGTCAGTATATAGCTCCAATTGTGAAAAGGTGAGTGGCTCTGAAAAGAGCCTTTGGGTTTACTAAGGCAGTTGCAGGGCTAAGTTTACTTGGAGCTCGTGTACTTGGTGACGGCCTTGGTGCCCTCCGACACGGCGTGCTTGGCCAGCTCCCCGGGCAGCAGCAGGCGCACTGCCGTCTGGATCTCCCTGGAGGTGATGGTCGAACGCTTGTTGTAATGCGCCAGGCGGGAAGCCTCGCCGGCGATGCGCTCGAAGATGTCGTTGACAAAGGAATTCATGATCCCCATGGCTTTGGAGGAGATGCCGGTGTCGGGATGGACCTGTTTCAGCACCTTGTACACGTATACGGAGTAGCTCTCTTTTCGGCTGCGCTTGCGCTTCTTGCCGTCCTTCTTCTGCGCCTTGGTCACGGCCTTTTTGGAGCCCTTCTTTGGGGCCGGAGCGGATTTCGCTGGCTCAGGCATGCTACCTTCGCTGTTCTGCAAGTAGGAATCAAAATGAAATCTACATCTCATGATCCTCGGAATTTGTAGACAATGTTATGTAAATGAAGATTTAGTTTCTCTATCTCTGATTCGTTCTTTTGTCGTGAAGTCTGCATGCAAATGAAGGAGCCTAGGTCTACTCTCCTATTGGTCGTATCCTGAGAGCAGTTTTCGTGCACGGGTCACCTAATTAACATTTTATATAACACGTTCCTGGCATTCCAAACAATTCAGATTAGTTTACTTATTCATTTTAAAAACTAAAAGTTGCTCTCCTCTATGCTTTTAAATGCCAGGGAGACAAAGCTTCTGGCGCAGTTACGTCTTCGAAATGTAAGGTCGGTTTAAAAGCTCCTGGAAAAGCTATTCCTTGGCATTCTGATGTAGATTCTAGAGCAGCAGGAGAGACCTGAAGAACGGCGAGCTAGGCGACCGGCGGTCACCCGCACAATCCCGAGAACAGTGTTTCCCACTTTTTACAGAGTGCACAAACACATCATGAAAATAAAGGGCAGGCAATAATGGTCCGGAGAACAACAATAACAACAACAACAAAAGTAAATAGCATCTCTTGAAGAGAGCTAAGACAGGAAAGCATGTCTTAGCCAAAATGGCTTCAGTCCTTAATGGAAAAGCAAGTCACACCTAGTTTAGCCCTACAGCGAGGATCCGAAATAAATATTCAGTCTTACTAGTGAAAATATTATTTAAAAAATTAAAATGAAAGAGTCCGCTATTTAACAAAGAGCTTTACTTTCAAGTTATTATCATCATCTTTGGCTAAAGCCCGCTTCTTAGCTAACTGTTCAGTTTAAGAAACTGTTCTTCCTAAATTTGACTGTCCTTTTTAAGCCCTCCTCCTTCACCCCAGGCTCCCCAGGCCCCTAGACCCTCTTCTCTCCTGCCACCATTCCCATTTCCTGGGTCCTAAGTCTCCAGGCATGAAGGTGCTGTGCAAAATGTATTCCACTCTGTGAGTTAGCATCTAACAAAAGTGTACTCTGAATTTATTGTGTCTTATGTTTGTTTCACAAAGTAATTTGTTTTTCTCACTTCAGTGATGACGAGAAAACTTTAAAATATGTTTAACATCTTTTTTTTTTTTAATTTCCAATTTAGCTAATGTAGCAGTGTTCAGAATAGCTAATGAGCTTTATTTGTATTTATTTAATCAAAAAATCTTGGGGCGGGCGCGGTGCCACTTTTCCCTTAATACGGTTTAAATGTTCTGTCTCATTTGTCTTTCTCCTTTTGGGATTACACGTCTGTAATCCCAGCACTTTGGGAGGCCGAGGCGGGCGGATCACAAGGTCAGGAGATCCAGACCATCCTGGCTAACAGGGTGAAACCCTGTCTCTACTAAAAATACAAAAAAATTAGCTGGGCGTGGTGGCGGGCGCCTGTAGTCCCAGCTACTTGGGAGACTGAGGCAGGAGAATGGCATACACCTCGGAGGCGGAGCTTGCTGTGAGCGGAGATCCTGGCATTGCACTGCAGCCGGGACAAGAGAAAGAGAGACTCCATCTCAAAGAAAAACAAACAAACAAACAAAACGGCCTGGAGTGATGACTCACGCCTGTAATCCCAAAACTTTTGGAGGCCGAGGGGTGTGGATCAGGAGGTCAGGAGTTTGAGACCAGCCTGGCCAATATAGTGAAACCCCGTCGATACTAAAAATACAAAAATTAGCCGGGCATGGTGGCGTACGCCTGTAGTCTCAGCTACTTGAGAGGCTGAGGGAGAACCCCGGAGGCGGAGGTTGCAGTGAGCCAAGGCTGCACCATTCCACCCCATCCTAGGTGAAACAGTAAGACTCTGTCTCAAAAAAAAAAAAAAAAAAAAAAAAAAGCTTATGTGATATTACTTTTTTCTCATTTAACAGAAAGGGAAATTAGAGAACTCAAGGGGCGGCATCCTGCCTAAAACCCCATTGCTTATACTAGGTGTAACCAGAATGATGATTTAGGCAATCTGACTTGTATCTAGTCCGTTAGAAGACATCTTCACCTACCTTGGTGGGCTGTGTTGCAAAAAGAGAAACGGCGTTTTTCTCATGTTAAAAGAATGGAAAATGAAGCATTTCTTTAATGACTAAAAGAGGTTAGAAATGAAAAAAATTTTTGATTCTATGGTATAACTTAGTAGAGAAAAAGGAGAAAGACAAATGAGACAGAAAATTTAAACCCTATTAAGGGAAAAGTGGTAAAGGGAGAGAAAAAATAAACAGACACAGTGGAAGGAGAGACAGACGTGAAGAGTAGGATAAAAAGAAAAAGAAATTCACCTAAAGAGGATGAACTAATATGTTGGAGAGACACAAAATGTATATACACAAAGAAAACCACAGAGAGTGGAGTTCATGATACAATCTGCAACTGCAAGAAGAAACAGAAAGAAAAGTGCAGATGAAGGCCCTTAACTACATCCAAACTACACATATCAGATATTCAACTGACAAGATTGGATTGAGACCCTTAAGTGATTTAAATGAGGTAGGTAACACTGCCATTCGTGATTTTTGAAATTCCTGCTAAAGACTAAAATTTCTGTACTTATATATCTATATGAATAAAAATGGTGATATGGCACACAATTAAGAAAAAGACAATGGGAAATTTAAAAGTGACAGTAACTGTAGAGTGGCATTGAGATTTCCTGTTTCTGATTGAGATCTCAAGAGAGTTTTAAACTTTTTATAGTGAATAGATTTGTACAAAAGGGTATACGCAACATAAACAAGAATTGTAAAACAAATGGTTGGTACTTAAAAACCCAGTTTAAGAAGTAAAATATCATTAGTAATTAATAGGCCCTGTATAACTCTCCTCAATTCAGTGGGAGAGACAGGAAGAACTTTGAGCTAGGCAAACAGCAATCACTCACATAATCTTATGAACAGTATATTTCACTTTTCACAGAGTACACATGTACATCATCAAAATAAAGGGCAGTTTAAGAACTAGAATGTCAGGCCGGGCACAGCGGCTCATGCCTATAATTCCAGCACTCTGGGAGGTCAACACGGGTGGATCATCTGAGGTCAGGAGTTCAAGACCAGCCTGATCAAAATGGTGAAACCCTGTCTCTACTAAAAATACAAAAATTAGCTGGGCGTGGTGACACACGCCTGCAATCCCAGCCACTTGGGAGGTTGAGGAAGGAGAATTGCTTGAACCCAGGAGCTGGACGTTGCAGTGAGCCAAGATTGTGCCTCTGCACTCCTACCTGGGAGACAGAGCGAGACCCTGTCTCAAAAAAAAAAAAAATTTTTTTTTTAGAGAAGGGGATCTCACTATATTGCCCAGGCATTCTCCCGTCTTAGCCTCCCCAGTCACTGAAATTACAGGTGTCAGACACCAAGCCTGGCCCTACATTTTGTTTTAATCAATCTTATTTTTGTTTTTGTTTTTTGGTTTTTCTTGGTTTAAATATCTAAGAATGGATTCATAAATTGTAAGTCATTTCATTTTGCCTATTTTTATCTTCACATAAATGGAATCACAAGCTGTATATAATTTTATGATGTTTTTATCCAAACCAATGTTTCTGAGATTCATTCATGTTCATATATGTTACTCCAGTACCATAGTTTCATTATTTTAAATAGCTAAATATACAGTAACACTAGTTTACTCAATTTATTATAACAGACCTTCATATTGTGTCTATCTGGGATTATCGAGGTCATTACTTCGGTGAACTTTCTTGCACATGTTTCCTGGTGTAGATGTGCACACATTTCTCTAGTATATATGTAATAAGGTGAGAGGCTGGTTGAGACATTCACATAGAGCTGCTCAGGGTGAAGATACATCTATAGATCTAGAGCTCAAGGCTGAAGCCTGGCATAGAAAAATGGCAGGCCACCCTGCCATCCCTCAACCCTTAATGTCCTTGCAAGGTTTGAAATGTCTGGATGGAGGGAACCATTTTCCATTTCCTATTTCTCACTAGGTAATATATATTTTTTTCAGCTTCTGAGTTCCCTTCCCTGCCCCCCTTCCCTCCCATCCTTTCCCCTTCCCTTTCCTTTGCGGGCATGGTAGCACACACCTGCAGTAGCTTGATCTCAGCTCACCACAGCCTCTGCCTCCTGGATTCAAGCAATTCTTGTGCCTCCGCCTCCTCAGTAACTGGAATTACCTGCATGTGCTACCATGCCTGGCTAATTTTTATATTTTAGTAGAGATGAGGTTTCACCATGTTGGCCAGGGTGCTCTCGAACTGCTCACCTCAGGTGATCTGCCGGCCTTGGCCTCCCGAAGTGCTGGGATTACAGGTGTGAGCCACCACTCTTGGTTGGGCCTGATTACTCTTTTAAAGATATTTTGATTGTTATTGATGATAGGATCTTTAAAAGCAAAATTCTATGAATTAAATCTGTTCATTTTTTCTTGGAAATTATGTAGAGATGGATTAGTGAATTTAAATTTTATTAGATAAAATTCCTTGATAAGATAAATTGCATGAATTTCTTTTTTAAATAATTCAATCAAAGCACAGATAGAGCATCAGTAATTAAAATGTTCAGTGTTAATTCAAGTAGGGTTTGGTTGTTTAAGTTAAAGAAATGAAACAAAATGAATGACAACCCTATAGAAATGTAAGATCCAAGAGGGCAGGAATTTTTGCTTGTTTTATCCATTGATGTATATCTAGCACTTAGAATAGTGCCTGGCACATAGTACCTTCACATAAACATGTGAAAGCTGGCAGAATGTTCCAGATTACAATATGCCATTTTGGCATAAGGATTATTTTGAGCTAAAGGGACTTAAAAACAGCAGATGCAAGAGGGGTGCTCTGATCTCCCGTTTTTCTTCCTAGAAGTAGAAGATAAAACCTCCCTATAGAAGATGTGCTCCCTGGCTGGGGTTAGTGGCTCACACCTGTAGTCCTAGCACTTTGGGAGACCGAGGCGGGCAAATCACGAGGTCAAGAGATGGAGACAAAAATTAGCTGGGCATGGTGGCACCTGCCTGTAGTCCCAGCTACTTGGGAGGCTGAGGCAGGAGAATCGGTTGAACCACGCCCGGCTAATTTTAGTAATTTTAGTAGAGATGGGGTTTAATCATATTGGCCAGGATGGTCTGGATCTCATGACCTCGTCATCTGCCCGCCTCAGCCTCCCAAAGTGCTAGGATTACCGGCCTGAGCCACCAGGCTCGACCAATGAGTCTTCTTTAAATCACATATGATGAAGGGTGGTTTTTGCAGTAAGCCATTTTTGGAACAAAAGAAGGTGGGGAGGATTTCTTTAACCATTGCTGTTTTTTGATCACAGAGCTCAGATAAAGGTAAACAGGCCATTGAAAACTGCCTATAAAATAGGCAAAATTAAAATGAAAAATAATATCAATATTATTAGTTTCAATCAATGATATATCATTTAAATCTCACTGGGTCTGATGTTTAAAAAAATAAAAATGTAAAAGATTAAATACATTTGGTTTTATTTTAATGTAATCAGAAATTAGTGACATATATTATTTAAAGCAATATATGTTGGATATCATGAAAATTGCCTGTCTAGTCATACTTCCTGAATCCCAATTGCTCTCAACTCTTCTGAGGTAGTAATCACTTGATGATGAGCTGAAGGGTGCTGTTACCTGGACCACAGGATCATTACTTTAAAAACAAAATTGGCTGGTATGCTTACAAATAAGTAGATTTCTCTGATAGTCATCTTTCCCATAAAAGTTCTCTCTAGCTCCAAGAACGGTGATTTTTTTTTTCAGGTTTACATACAATGAAACTCAAAAATAATGTGAGATATTAAATTAAATGGAATATATCCAAGGTATTTTGCTATATGCTTGTAATTTCATGGAAGTTTTATTTTGCCTTTCTAAAAAAAAAAAAAAGCATGTGTCAGTTTCTGAACATGAACAGTATTTTATCTTTTTACGATTTTTTTAAATTGAAGCAAAGAATATATGTAATAATGTGCCTTAGAGAGTACTCCTCTTATTTGGGCCTAAAAACAAATCATGCGTGGATTTAAAAAGACAATAATAACAATAATAAAGAAGATGAGGGACAAATATCCCCGGAAAATGTTTACCAAGACATTGCTAGTTTAGCAATATTAGTATCAGACAAAATATTAAAGCAAAGGTTTACAGGGATAGAGAGGGACACTGTAAGGACTCTTATCTGCAATGTGGAAAACAAGATATTCCAGAAAACTCTATTGAAGCAATACACCTATGAACTAGAGAAACTACAACCAACAAACTAGTACTTAGTTACTCAATTAACAGAAAACACAAGGGGCCGGGCAAGGTGGCTCATGCCTGTAATCCCAGAACTTTGGGAAGTCAAGGCGGGTGAATCACTTGAGGTCAGGAGTTGGACACCAGCTTGGCCAACATGGTGAAACCCATCTCTACTAAAAATACAAAAATTAGCCGGGCGTGGTGGTGCGTGCCTATAATCCAAGCTACTCAGGAGGCTGAGGCAGGAGAATCGCTTGAATCTGGGAAGTGGAGGTTGCAGTGAGCCGAGATCATGCCACTACAGTCCAGCCTGGGTGAAAGAGCAAGACTCTCTCAAACACACACACACACCCCCAAAGAAAAAAAAAAGCAAAGAAAAAACCACAAGGGAAATTCCCATAAACCATCCAGAACAATAAAATTTAGAAGCTGAAACGAGGGTGACAAATAGGACATCTTTGGTTCTCTGGGTGCAAATACCATTAATCAGGATTCCGAGCTCTGGGAATTAAAGTCTGCCCCTTAGGGAATAGAATTCTAGGCTCTTAAACAAAAGTGAAGACACATAGCATAAAGCCAGAATGCTTTGAAACAGGGGTAGCCTGGAGAAAAAAAGGAAAAAAGAAGAAAAAAACCTAGTAAACATCCCTGGGATAAAACCTTGTTTGTCTCTACAGGACTCTGGCTCTGAGGAGGTGGATGGAGAAAATTGGCCCCAAAGATTTAACCCTAAGTTTTAATGAAGTCTTGAGTTCCAATGAAGACGTCCTGATTGACTCAGGCTTATAGTGCCCCCTCGTGCCTGATGAAGACAAACACAAACCCCTTCAGGAGGAAATCATCTTGAACCCAAGTTCTCTACATTTATACACATTATCTATTTATTGAGCAATCATTTATTGAACACCTATTATATGCCAGACACTCTGTCAGGAACTTAGGATGTTTAAATATAAGGTCGTAACAAATGTCACAAAATTGAAGAAAAACAGACACTTTGGAGAGTTTGGCTTATAAGCAAAGAAGAGCCTTCTATTTCCTCCTAGATCCCTAAGCAAACAAAGGATTTCAGATATTGAAATGATTAGATACAGACTATAAAAATAACTATTTACTAAAAGTTTAATGAAATAAAAAATAGAATAATAAAACAATCAAGGAGCACGGGATAATCAAAACCAAGTACATTTGAAAAAGAACAAAAGAGAACTTTGCTATACTCCATAATGATAAAATAAAAATCCAAAAGTAAGATGTAACATTCAAAACCTTATATGCACTGGACTACCGAACCACTACTATGTCAATAAATAACTGACAGAATTAGAAGGGGAATTTCAAATTTACAATTGTAGGGTAACTTTTCAATATTCTGTATGAGTGTTAGACACTTATATTACAAACAAAGAAAAATGCTAATGGTTGTCCAGGATTTGAATAAGACAATAAGCAAATTTGATCTATCTATGATTACCTTCATTTGACATAGAAAACATCCCTTCTATTTTTCAAAGCATACATTAGACAATTTCAAAAAAAAAATTAATCCTGGTTTCAGAAAGTTATAGAAATTAATGAAGATAACTACAAAAAGGGAGATATAAAGAACGATAAGAGAATGCTGTGTAATGTTTACAAAAAATTAAACTCAGTGGAAAATAATTTTCAAGAAAAAGAAGAAAATTAATAGACAAGCTGAGTAAACAAATTATTATTATGAAAATAAGGTAGGCAGTTAAAAAAAAAAATCTTTTCTGTTTCCTTCCACCCAAATACTGCCAAGTCCAATCTGATTTTCCAAGTTTTAGTGAATTTTTAAGGAATAGATCATCTCTTATTTTTTTTTTTTTTCTGAGATAGGTCTCGCTATGTTGCCTCCGCTGTAGTGCAGTGGCTATACACAGGCGTGATGGCAGCACCCTACAGTCTCTAACTCCTGGGCTCAAGTGGTCCTTCTGCTTCACCTCCTAAGTAGCTGGGACTACAGGGACATGCCACCTCACTTGGCATGATACCTATTTTACAGAATCTGTTACTATAGAAAAATAGCTCTCCTACTCACTTTTTTCTTTTAAAATTGTATAACGTTATTAGCAAAACTGGAGGAGAATACAAATTTTAAAAAGGGAGAAGAAAAAAACAAAAGTATAGCTTTGTCTCAGTAATGAACATTCATTTTTGTTTTTTAGAAATAAATGCCTATTATGAGAAAACATGGAAACCAGAAGAAATTGCAGAGACCATATTATTTAAATAAATAGCATATTATATAGGGTTTATTCTAAGAATAGAAGGAAGTTTAGCATTCTAAATCTGCCAGTTTAAGAAATTAATAAAGGAAGGCCCAGAGCAGTGGCTCACGCCTGCATTCCTAGTACTTTAGGAGGCCGAGGCAGGTGGGTCACTTGATGTCAGGAGTTCAAGGCCAGCCTGGCCAATGGCAGGAACCCTTGTCTTCTACTGAAAATACAAAAATTAGCCAGACATGGTGGCATGCACCTGTAGTCCCAACTACTTGGGAAACTGAGGCAGAAGAATCACTTGAACCTGGGAGGTGGAGGTTGTAATGAGCTTAGATCAAGGCACTGCACTCCAGCCTGGGTGACAGAGTGAGACTCCATCTCAAAAATAAAATATAAAATAAAAAGATTAATAAAAAACGTGATCATCTCCAAAAATAATGAGAAAGCATTTAACAAAATGTAACACTCTTTCATCATAAACACTTAACAATGAGAAGAGAACTTCATAAGGAGTAGCTACAGTGAGTATAACACTTAATGGTGCCATTTTGGAAGGATTCCCATAGAGGTGGAAGGAAGACAAGTGTGGTGTGAAACTACTCCTATTCAACATGGCATCACAGAGTTTGGCCAATACCATGAGATAGGAACAGACAGTGAGAAGAGCAAGGATTCAACAGGAAAAGATGATTATTTTTGAAAATAACGTAATTGTCAAGGTAAAAGTTCATGAGAATCTATAAACAATTACATCAAATAAGAATTGGAATTAGTGGGCATAGGCCAGGCACGGTGGTTCACACCTGTAATCCCATCACTTTGGGAGGCTGAGGCGGGTGGATCATGAGGTCAGGAGATGGAGACTATCCTGGCTAACACAGTAAAATCCCGTCTCTACTGAAAATACAAAAAATTAGCTGGGTGTGGTGGCACGTGCCTATAGTTTCAGTTACTCGGGAGGCTGAGGCAGAAGAATCGCTTGAACCTGGGTGGCAGAGATTGCGGTGAGCCGAGATTGAATCATTGCATTCCAGCCTTGGCGACAGAGCAAGGCTCCGTCAAAAAAAAAAAAAAAAAAAAGAATTGGAATTAGTGGGCATAAGAGTACCATACAAAAATTCATGGCATTTTTGTACACTAGCAATTACCTATCTGAAATCAAGATATTATAGAAAAGCTAGACATCACAACAGTACAACAGATTCTAAATCCAAGAGTAAATATTCCAGATGTATATGATAAAAATTTTGTAATGTCATTAAGTACATAAAACAATATCCATTTTAAAAAGAGGCAGCTTTATAGTGTACTATGTTTATGTTTTGTGATGATTCAATATACTAAAATGTTCATATAAACTCTCCTAAAAGGATAGTTTTCTAAATTACTGAAAAATGTAATGTCAAGCAAACCCTAATGAATATTTTGTAGAGCACTGTAAAATTCATATCAATGAATGAAAATAGTCAAGATGATTCTCAAAAAAGAAAAAAAGAAAAAGGAAAAGAAGAGAGTGATGGGCCATGACTTACCACTATATATGAAGACATATGAACCTACAGTAATTAAAACAGTGTGGCATTTGGTCTAGGCATAATCAGCAGGTGAGTAGAACAGAGTTAGGCATTTTTGGAGTTTTCTGGGAGCCTCTTTGCTGACATATTCTAATTGCCTATAGATAGCTCTTCACTGGATGCTTTAACTCTGTATCCCTGGGAATAAGGTGGGTAGAGAGGGTGAATAATGCTAAAATATTTCTCTGATTCTAAACTCAACTCACACTGTTTGCTATGGGAATCTGGTTGACTCAAGTTGGTGTGTGTTTTCAATGCAGAGAATGGAGACTTCATCTCCATACATGGTGTTGGGGTGCTGAAGCAAGATGAAGAGAGAAGCATCCCTGAAGGACCAGAGAAGTGGTAATTGCATGGGCGTGTAGTGTGATATGGGGAGAGTACCATAAAAAAAAGAGACAGGTATATACTGTACTATATTTATGTGCAGTACTATTATTGGCAGAGAGAAAAGTGGAAATCTCACTGATCATGTGAAATGCAAGGTTTTGTTTTTACATGTTGTTAAATTAATTCCTTAGAGTTACCAAGAGATAATATTTGTAATGTAAAGAAGGGACCCTGGAGCTAACCTGCCTAGGTCAGAAAGCTCTCTGTCATGTATTAGGCGTAGGACATTGGACAAGTTATTTTAAGCTTCACTTGGTATATACTCATGGGTAAAAGTGGGATAACAGGCTGGGCGTGGTGGCTCACACCTGTAATCCCAGCACTTTGGGAGGCCGAGGCGGGCGGATCACAAGTCAGGAGTTCCAGACCAGCCTGACCAACATGGTGAAACCCTGTCTCTACTAAAAATGCAGAAATTAGCAGGGCATGGTGGAGCGTGCCTGTAATCCCAGCCATTCAGGAGGCTGACGCAGGAGAATCGCTTGAACCCGGGAGGTGGAGGTTGCAATGAGGTGAGATCGCACCACTGCACTCCAGACTGGGCAACAGAGGGAGACTCCATCTCAAAAAAAAAAAAAAAAAAAAAAAAAAAAAGTGGGATAACAGTGCACAGATATGTTTTGGGGCTGACATTAGTATCTGGAAATCACTTAGAAATGTATGTGTAAAAAATAAAAAATAAAAAGAAATAAAAATAACTCGTAAGTGTTGTCAGCTATGTGCACCAACGGCTGCATTGTCTTTCTTGCTCCTGAAGTGCTTCTGCCTTCGTGGGCACCTTCCTTTATTAAAGTCATATGAAGATTAATATATAACGTCTTCTTCGACTTAAATGTTCATTTTTTCCCTTCTGACTTTAGAAGAAATTAAAATATTTTCATAAGCCCCCAAAAGAACTTTGGGCCCTAGACACCGTGCCTGCTGTTTAATGGAGGACGGCGCTAACTGTACCTGAAGATGATTTTTTTTTAAAAAAACATTCAATTAGGAAATAATTATTCGCACACATTCATATACATACATACACCGAATCCTCACACGAAGAGCCCTACAGGCGTGAGAACAGTAAGGGAGGTGCAAGAAACGTCACCTTGGAGATGGGAGGCATATTTTCAGCTACTAGAGAAGGGGGGAAGTGCCACCTCTCTGAGAAGAAAGCAGGAGGATGCTGAGAGACTGAAGCTGAAATTTTCTTCCTGCTTCCTCACTCTTCTCGTTGGTTTCAGCAGTCTGAAAAGCTCTTGTGAGAGGAGCAAAAAGATCAAGGGAAGATTATTGCCTGGCTTCTCAGTCTTCAAAATTTCCGGTCCTCTGTTTTTTTGTTTTGAGACGGAGTCTCGCTCTGTCGCCAGGCTGGAGTGCAGTGGCGCGATCTCGGTCATTGCAACCTCCGCCTCCCGGGTTCTAGCGAATTCTTCTGCCTCAGCCTCCTGAGTAGCTGGGACTACAGGCGCGTGCCACCATACCCAGCTAACTTTTTGTACACCTGGTAGGGACGGGGTCTCACCGCGTAAGCCAGGATGGTCTCTATCTCCTGACCACGTCATCCGCCCGCCTCAGCCTCCCAAAGTGCTGGGATTACAGGCGTGAGCCACTGCGACGGCCGGTCCTCTGTTTTTAAACTGTCCACCGGATTGTTCGAAGTCTCCGATGTCCGGCGATCTGGTGGCCGCAGAAGAAAGAGGTCCACTCGCCGGGGACTGGGAACCACCAGCTAGCTGCCTACGGGGAAACGTCCCGGACGCGCGCCGGACGGACGTTAAACGTTCGTGACGCCATATGCGGGAGCCGGATGGACGTAACGTGGCAGCGGCTTAAAGTGTGGCTCTGTCGTCAGGGCACGGAGGGGCGTGGCCGGACGGCCCTATGAGGGGGCGGGCGTTTGTGGCAAAGGTTGATGGGATGACCTTATGAGGGAGCCTGCATGGAGGGGCACGATGGGCCCCAAGACTCTTTTTCATGCACGCATAGCCGTACCGGGAGTAGGATGACCGCTGCCATTTTTCAGGACCTTTCATCTTCGGCTTGAAGTTCTGTGCGA